CGTCCCTTGCCTCATCGCTCGGCCGGCCTGCCGCTGGCGCTCTGCTACCCCACCTTTATTTTTTTTGCGGACGCGCGCACACCTGCCCGTGTGCCTATCCCCGTCCTTTCGGCTCCACACCCCCAACAGGCCGACTCCTGGAGGCCCACTCTTTCCCCTGAGGGCTGGCTGGGGCGGATCCCTTGCCCGGGCGCTGGGCGTGAGTGTTCGTCCCTGCCCGCCAGATCGCCTGTAGGCCCTTCGGCAGGCGTCATGGTGCAGAACTTGCGTGATCCCCCGGCCAACCGAGGCCGGGGTTTGGCTCCGAACAATTCGCCCGGCCGTGCGGATCATGGGCCTTTGCTCGGGGTGGCCCCGCCGGGCTCGCCATCCCTGAGCCTGGAAACGCCCGCCTTTCTCCCGGCCGAGGGCCAGCCGCCTGGCCCCGGCCGTGGGTCGCCCCGGCCGACCGGCGGGACGCCCACCCAGCCGGCCTCCGCCTCGGCATCCTGGAGTCGGCTTGACCAGCTCTCCGGGCCGGCGGCCGGCATGGCACCAGGCCCCGGACGAAAGATGCCCCTCGGTGCGGCCTCGACCGAGCATGAGGGCCACCTCGCCTTCATCGGCCCGAGCGCCGGCCCCACTTCAAGCCAAGTCCCGCCGCAGTCGCCCATCCTGCAACGCCTTCAGGCCGGCAGCCCCGGGTTTTCGGGGCTCCCCTTGGGCCTGGCATCGGGCCATGCCGGGGACAAGCCCCGCACCGGGGGGGCATCCTACTCGCCGGGCACACACCACCCAATGGGCTCCCCCGGCGGAGGGAGCCCCTTCGCCATGAGAACCCTCCCAAGCCCGCTGACCGGGCCCGGATCGCCGTACCACCGGGGCGCCGGCACTGTGCCGGCCAGCCCGCAGGACTCCAGCTTCCCGGGGCTGCTGCAGCCCAGTCCGGCCGGAGTCGGCCGACCGGACGCCGTGTCCACCATCGGCCTGGCCACCGGGCCCGCCAGCCTCCTGGCCCCGGCGCACCACTCGCCATTGCGCACAAGCTTCGACATTTCCGACCCCCTGGGTGGCTTGGGCGCCGGCCGGACCGGCGCGCCGGGCGGCGGGGCAGACTTCCCCTCACCGCGCACATCCATCGACATCGGCGCCCACCGGCCAAGCATCGACCTGTCCTCGGTGCCATTGCTCCATGGGCCCGCGGCCGGCCTCGGCGGCGGCGGCGGCGGCGGCGGTGGTGGCGACCACTCGGCCGAATCCCCGGGCGGGTTAGGCCCATCGAATGGGCGCCCGCGCGCAGGCTCCCTCGCCGGGGCGCCAACCTCGTCGGCCAATGGGGTGCTGTCCGGCTGGCTGGGGAATGCCCTGCAGACGACATCGCGCACGGTCTTTCGTCGGACCCTACGGCCGGAACAGAAGGAGGTGTGTGCCCAAATGCCTGCCGGGTCCTTTGGCAATCATGTGCCTCCCCCCGCCCCCTCTCCCGCCTTCCTGTGCCTCTCGCTCGCAAGTACTTTGTGCCGTTTGCCGGGTCCTCACGCGCCGGCTCCCGGCCCCCGCTGCCCAGGTCCTCCTCTCGTACCTTTGGAATGGCTTCTACCTGGTGTCGTGGTTTTCCCTGTCTACCATGCTGTCCATGTACAACAAGGTTCTCCTGGGCAAGAGCCATCTCAACTTCCCCTACCCGCTGTTCATGACGTCGGTGCACTTCTTCATGCACTACGCCGTGTCCGGGGTCATCCTGCGGCTGGCCGCCTGGTGGCATGCGCGAGGAGGCCAGGTCAATGAGGCGCTGGTCAACCGGAAGCGCATTTCCTGGGCCGACTACCGGAACAAGGTCCGTGCCCTCGCGCGGGGGAGTCCCCCCCCCCCCCTTGCTGCTGGCGTGCCGGCTCGCCCGGACTCTAACATCGCACATGGGCCTGCTGGCACGCGTGCATCCCCCGCCGCGTGCACACAATGCCGGGCCATGCCCTCGGCTAGGTGGCCCCGACCGGCATCGCCAGTGCCCTGGACATCGGCCTCTCCAACGCGGCCCTGGCCTTGGTAACTTTGTCCTTCTACACCATGATCAAGTCCAGCGCGCCGGTCTTCCTCCTGGGATTCGCCATTGCCTTCCGCCTGGAGCCGGTATGCCATCTTGCGCTCGAACATTGCCCCCGGCCCACGCGCACACGCATGCACGCATGCACGCACACGTATTGCCACTGCTGGCCTGCATCCTCCCGCAGGCGCGGCCACACGGGCCTGAAGCGTCTCTGACCCGGCCATCCATCATCCCCATCGCCGGACGGGGCCGCCTGGCTCACGGCGGCGCTGCCCACGCCCCCCGGCCCGTGACTCAAGCTGAGCCTCAAGCTGCTTGGGCTCATCTCTTGGATGACCATCGGCATCATCCTGACCGCATACGGCGAAACCAACTTCAATGCCACCGGCTTCGTGCTGGTCCTGTCGGCAGCCATCCTGTCCGGCTTGCGGTGGACCCTGACGCAGGTGCTCCTGCAAAAGGAGTCCCTCGGCCTGACACACCCGCTGCTGACCTTGAACACCACGTCGCCGATCATGGGCGCGGCTCTCCTGCTGATTGCCTTCCCCCTGGAGCGGCTGTACCTGCTGCCCTGGTCGCCGTACTTCTCCAGCCTCTGGAAGACCACCGCCACGGCCGGTCTCATGGGATTCGGCGCCGTGTTGGCCTTCCTGATGCTCATCTCGGAGTTTGCCTTCGTCCAGGCGTCCGGCGCCGTGTCTCTCACGGTGGCCGGCCTGGTGAAGGAACTCCTCACCGTCAGTGTCGGGTGTGTGGTGTTCGGCGACCAAATCGGCATGATCAATGCCGCGGGCATGGTCATCGTCATGATCGGCGTGTGCCTCTATCAGATGCTCAAATGGCGCAAGGCCATGGCCGCGGCGCGCGATCGCGAAGATCTGGCCCAGGCCGCGGCCGATGGCTCGGAGCTGCTCGTGCTTCCGGCGGCCGGCCCGGGACCGGCGGCCTCGGCCGGCCAGCTGACAGGCCTGGCGGCGGAAATCCTCCGGAAGGAGGAGATCGAACTCCTGCCGCTGTACCACCAACAGCCACGTCGTGCCATGCCGTCGGCTGCCATTGTCCCTGCCGCGCCTGCCGCCATCACTACCACCATTGCCACTGCTTCTAATGCCGTGGCTCCGGGCGTCTCCTGAGCGGCAAAACACTCCCGGCCACAGCAGGAAGAAAAAAGGCGAGGGCGTGTGCCAGGCGATTTGGAGAAGTGGCCAGGGGGAAGAAGGACCGAACGAGGCGCCGGAGGCAGTGGG